TCCCGAAGTGGTGGGACTTGAGTTGGACCCTCAAGATGGGTGTGAATCAACTAAACAGAAGAGGCAGGGAAAGGTGTCAAGCTGGGGTGAGTTCCATTAGTCCCATTTCTTCTTTATTTTTATTTTTTATTGAAGTGCAGTTGATTTACAATGTTAGTTTCAGTTGTACAGCAAAGAGATTCAGATATATACATATATATTTTTTCCCGTTACAGCTCATTACAAGAAATTGAATATAGTTCCCTATGTTATACAGTAGGTCCTTGTTGTTTATCTATTTTATATATTGCAATGTTTATTTGTTAATCCCAAACTCCTAATCTATCCCTCCCTCCTCAATCTGCCTCCACCACCCAGAGGTGTGTTTTCTGTGTTCATGAGTCTATTTCTGGTTTGTAAATAAAATTTGTATATATATATATATATTTAGATTCCACATATAAGTGTCCATATAAGTCTCATTTCTGAGGCAGGAATGTGTAATATACAAACCAGAGCAGGAAGATTCCACTGCAAGGTGATAAATCTTAGCAGTATGTAAGGGGACCCTGACTTTACCACTTCTTTAGGCCCATCAATTAATTGGCCTCCTTGTGCCCCAGTTTTCTGACTGTAAGATGGAAATAATAATATTGGCCACCTCATAAAGCATTGGAAAGAGTTAAGAGTTAACACAGTGTGAAGCAACTAAATCAGCATCTTAGGCACAGAGAGCCCTCAGGATTAGCTATTAGTATTACTAATACTAATACTAATACAAATTCTCTTCCCCTTACGTGAGAAGGGGAACAGAATTTGCTATCCCATTGCTATCCCAAAATACGTCTTCTTAGCATAAGAATCATCTTGAATGGGTTATTTCTAAGAAGCTGCAGACCCAGGAAAAGCTCTAAAAACTGAGTGTAAGTTACCTTTTGTAAGAGACATTTACATTTACAAGGGAAATCACCGTTTGTAAGGGTGTCTCCCTCTCTGTACCGGAAGAGGAGGATGACTAGAACTCTAGAAACCTTCATCAATAGAGAAGGCGAGGACCTTTAGCTACACAACAACCACACCCTTTACTGTGCTTTTCCTGGTAACCTCCCGTAACTAGCTTTCCCCTCCACTTCCCCAAACATCTTTCTTTTGGTCTTTAACTGGAGATGAAGTTTGAGGTGGTGACTTGGGCCACTCTTAAAAGTTACTCATTTTCCTGCTTATCTTCTGTGCATACAGGAGGTATATACGTTATTAAACTTGGTTTTTTTTTCTTCTGTTAATCTGTCCTTTATTATAGAGGGGTCTCTGCCAAGAACCTACAAGGATAAACAGAAAATTACTATGCCTCCCCTTCACCTGTTGATCTGTTGTAAGGAACTTATTACAACCAGGCTACGACACAAATGAGCTAGCCGAAGTGTAAATGTCTTCAGAATTCCACCCTCGAAAACAGACATGTAACATCTCACATGAAACCCCAATATAAAAAAGAAACAAAGAGAAGTAATATTTTATAGCTACAAATATATTCTGTAGTTTAAATGTAGAAAATTTACTTTGTATAGTATAAGTTTTTTCAATGAGAACACGTTAATATGTTGATCAGCCTCCAAATTTGGTTCATATTACTGTATACACTTATGTAACATACTAAATTCAGGAAATGTATATTTAAAGATAATATTGCATGAATTAAATTCATTATATATAT